GGCAACATGCATAGTTCCCTCATCATCATCATCATCATCATCAACATCTTTATCATCATCATCAACCACCACAACTTTCTCTTTCCCAACTGTGATCTTGCTAGCCCTGAATGGGGCTTTTAATGGAAACTTCCCATCTACTATGGGATTTTCAGGAACTCGTGAAGCACGACACAACTTGGTGACCGGGGAAGGGAAGTAGAACCCTTTGAGTTTTTCTGGAGAGAGAATGAACATTTCATCCTGAATGAGTCGGGCCACATCAAAATCGTGGTGGATCATAAAACAATAGATCATCGCTGCTCTTGGCCCATTAACATCTGTAGTGTTGCTGGATGGCAGCAAACAGCTATTGATGATTGTTAGCCAACACTTAGCTTCCCAAGTGAGATATTGGGAGTTCAAGGTAATTCTCTGCTTTATCCATATTCGATCCCGGCTTGCCACACAGACTATTTCAAGAATTGGTGCCCACTAGATAGTTGGGCAATGATAAGCAAGGTAATAATCCGTCTCTCTAGTGAATACTGGCAGCCTATACACTCGTTGGATGCCCTTAAGAGACGCATGCACCCGGGTATTTCGTACCGTGACAACCCTATCAATATGCTCCGGGCAATTCGCATAAAACTCCATTACCATCAGTACATTGCCCTCTTTCGGTTCATTAAAGAAGATGTCCAGCTGACGCCTCCTCAATTCTTCAAAGACACTTGGACATTCAATTTGCAAGGCCTGCCTATCAATGTGTACTTCCGGTAACAGCTTCTTGGATGCCTTTGCATTAAACCTATCTTGAGCTGCTTTGGAAACAAACCGAGTGCGGTTAAACTAGTCCGCACTAGCATGAGCTCGAGCTCTGGATGAACCTCCTGGTCCAGTAGCGGAGGAAGCTTATTTTTAGACTGAACTGGAGGCAAGAACAAGTGTGAGAAGATCAAGACACCATTAGAGTTTTAATTTTTCTTCTTGTTATCATTATTTTGTGAATTATGAATGATTTTATGGTTTATTCTTGTTTTGCTATGAGTAGCTAAACATTTAATCTAGGATTGATAGAACCAATTGTTAGATGAAGTTTTGACTCAATTTTGTTATAATCGAGCCGGGTTTATTATATGATTGTTCAACTACGTTTTGTATTGTGATTAATTGAAGGCGCCCTTGATTAATCGTGTCTAATTGCCTTGTGTTGCTTAAAGAATACTAGGTTAGATTATTGTTGAACAACATCAGTTTTGTGTAATTGAAGAGATTCATTACTTGAACTTAAAAGTGGAGTTAGAGATAACGAAACTTTGGTGGGATAATTCAGAGCTGCATAAATAATCAGGTAGAGTAGTTCGAGAGAATGCTCTAGTAAACTATCGTAGTTGATCGAGAGATAATTGCGGTAAACCATAGCTCATAATCCTCATAGATTATTACGGCGAGATTATAGTAAAAGAGTTAGGACTTAAACTAGCAATTGGGGAAATCAATACCCTAGATCTTTTATCATTGAATTATCTTTGATTTAGAATATTGTTAGTCTTAATATCAGTTTACTTTAGTTAAAAAAACCCAATATTTATTTAAAAAAAATCTTGCATCCGAAAATTGTTTGAGCTTGGGTTAGCATCACTAAGAGTTGTGATAGATAGGTTAGTTTCCTAAGGATTCGACTCCGGACATAAAAACCAGATTATATTTTCAACGACCGCTTGTCTTTTATAAGGCATAGTTGGGCATGTCTTTTTAAGTAGAACTTAACTACATGGCAGAATAGTCACGTTTCACTGCGGTCGCAGTGAAAGAAGGGAGACGAAATAAAATACTCGCCATTTACCGCGGTTGCACCGTGGTCCTACGGTGATCGCGGTCACGGGCTTCCGAATTTTTTTTTCATACACATCAACTACAACATCAAAATAAAAGAAAAAATAAACAAAAGAACATATGGGTTGTCTCCCACGCAGTGCTTGATTTAACATCACGGCACGACACATGCTCATGTCATCACTCCTCATTTGTGTATTGGGGCTGATCCAACATTATCACCACGTTGTCCCCTTTTTCTTCAGTCATTCCAAGGTAATGTTTCAACCTCTTCCCATTCACTGTGAATTTGTTCGTCCCATCTTCAGATTCGATCTCCACAGCTCCACTTGGGAACATTTGCACCACTCTGAACGGTCCTGACCATCGGGACTTCAACTTACTTGGAAACAACCTCAATCTTGAGTTATATAACAGCACTAATTCTCCGGGGTTGAAGTTCCGATTCAATATGTGCTTATCATGCATCAGTTTCATCCTTTCTTTATAAAGTTTAGCACTCTCGAATGCCTGGAACCGGAATTTTTCAAGCTCATGCAACCCATTAACTCAGTTGGTGCCTGATGTCTCCATGTTTAATTTCAGCTGTTGCAATGCCCGCATCGCTTTTTGTTCGAGCTCAAATGGAAAGTGGCATGCTTTCCAAATACCAAGTTGTATGGTGATATACCAATTGGAGTTTTGAAGGTTGTGCAGTATGCCCACAATGCATCATCCAGCTTCCTTGCCCAGTCAGTTCTTGTTGCATTCACTATTTTTGAGATGACACCTTTGATTTCTCTATTGGACACTTCTACCTGCCCACTTGTTTATGGGTGGTATGGTGAGGCTACCTTGTGGCAAACTCCATACTTCTCCAACATGCATGCAAACGCTCTATTACAAAAATGAGAGCCACCATCACTGATTATGACTCAGGGCGGTGCCAAAACGTGTGAAGATGTTTTTCTTTAGGAAACTGGTCACCCCTTTCGCATCATTGGTTGGGAGAGCAACTGCTTCGACCCACTTGGAGACATAGTCAATGGCAACCAATATATACTTATTACCATATGAGCTGACAAACGGCCCCATGAAGTCGATCCCCCACATGTCAAACACTTCCACCTATTGGATTGCGGTCATTGGCATCTTATGATGACGGGATATGTTGCCCGTCCTTTGACATTCATCATAGCTTTTGACCCAAGCATGGGCATTATTGAACAATATATGCCAATACAGGTCTGATTCCAGCACTTTTGCTGCTGTCCAAATTCCTCCAAAATGTTCACCATATGGCGAGGCATGATAAGCCTGCAAAATAGAGGGTTGATCTTGCTCGGGGATACACCATCGGATCATATTATCAACACATATTTTGAACAATAGAGGTTCATCCCAATAATACTCCCGACAATCACAAAAAAAAAATCTTTTGAATTGAGGAGAGATCATGAGGTACAATACCACAAGCTAAGTAATTAGCAATATCAGCATACCATGGTGACTCCTACATTGTCAAAGCAAGTAATTGCTCATCCGGGAATGTCTCAAGGATATCTTCAACCTCCATTCTCTTTTCTGCCCTTTCCAACCTCGAGAGGTGGTCTGCTACTTGGTTGTCTGTCCCCTTTCGGTCATGAATCTCCAGGTCAAATTCCTGTAGCAACAGAACCCAACGAATCAAGCGGGACTTTGACTCCTTCTTTTCCATCAATTACCTAATTGCTGCATGGTCAGTATAAACAATAACTTTTGAGCCAATCAAGTATGACCTGAATTTGTCGAAGGCAAACACTACAGCAAGCACTTCCTTTTTAGTGACTGTGTAGTTCAGTTGTGCACCACTAAGTGTCCTGCTTGCATAGTAAATTGGGCGCATAATTTTCTCCTTTCGCTGCCCCAAAACCGCTCCTATAGCGTAATCACCAGCGTCGCACATAAGCTCGAATGGTTGCTCCCAGTTAGGTTAAACAATGATGGGTGTAGTCACCAATATCCTCTTCAGCTCCTCAAATGCTAACCTGCAATCATCAGAAAACAAAAAATGTTGGTCTTTTTCAAGAAGCTTACATAAGGGGTTAGCAATTTTTGAAAAATCCTTGATGAACTGCTTGTAGAATCCGGCGTGCCCAAGGAAGCTTCTCACTGCTTTCACTGAAGTGGGTGCTGGAAGTTTCTCAATCACATCAACTTTTGCATGGTCTCCTTCAATCCCCTTTTTGGACACTCTATGCCCCAACTATGCCTCCGTGCACCATAAAAGGGCACTTCTCCCAGTTCAGCACCAAATTTGTCTCCACACATTTTTGGAGCACTCTTTTAAGGTTGTGAAGACAGTCTTCGAATGAATCCCCTACCATGGAGAAATCATCCATAAACATCTCCAAAATGTCTTCGACCATGTCAGTAAAGATGGCTAGCATACACTGTTGGAATGTGGCCGGTGCGTTGCAAAGTCCAAAGGGCATCCTCCAAAAGGCAAAGATGCCATACAGACATGTGAAGGATGTTTTCTCTCTATCTTCCGGGGCTATTAAGATCTGATTGTACCCCGAGTATCCGTCCAAGAAACACAAATGGGATCGCCCAGCTAACCTGTCCAACATCTGATCAATGAAGGGCAAGGGGAAATGGTCTTTTCAGGTGGCTCTATTTAATTTCCTGTAATCCATGCAAATCCGCCACCCTGTGGCTGTACGAGTTAAGATCAACTCATTCTTCTCATTTTGTACAACTGTCATTCCACTCTTTTTCGGTACACACTGGACGGGGCTTACCCAATTGCTATCAGAGATGAGAAAGATGATGCTCGCGTCCAGCCACTTGATTACCTCCTTTTTCACTACCTCTTTCATATTCGGGTTCAACCTTCGTTGATGTTCCCTGGAAGGTTTGTGCCCTTCTTCCAAACAAATCTTGTGCATGCAGAAGGCCGGGCTGATACCCTTTATGTCTGCCATGGTCCAACCAATGGCAGTTTTACATTCTTTCAATACCTGCAGTAATTGTTCTACCTACACAGCTAGCAAACTAGATGATATAATAACAGACAAAGTAGAATTGGGACCCAAGAAAGCATACCTGAGGTAGGCTGGAAGCGGTTTAAGCTCCAGTTGGGGTGGTTCCTCTATTGATGGTTTTGCAGGTGGTGTAGCTCTCTTTTCTAACTCAAGGGACTCGAACTGCGGTTCCCTCTTCTAGAATCTTTGGCCTTCGAGTGCCATGACCCACTCTGCCAACCCTTCACTATCCATCTCCTCTAAATTTGTCAAACAAGCTCCCAATGGATCTTTAGCATTCAGGCTTTCATCATTTTCATGCAGGATCACATCCACAGCTTTCACTAGTGAGCAATTTGCATATTTACTGGGCCTCCTCATGGATTGTTGAACGTTGAATATAACTTCTTTATCGTTCAACCTCATTTTTAATTCCCCAGTTTTACAATCAATCAATGCTCTCCCAGTGGCTAAAAATGGCCTCCCCAGAATGATGGGTATCTCCTCATCTACCTGGCAATCTAGAATAACAAAGTTTGCAGGGAATACAAACTTTCCCACTTGTACCAGCACATCATCAAGAATCCCCATCGGTCTTTTAACCATGTGGTCAGCTAGTTGCAAAAGCATCGAAGTCGGTCTAGCTCTGCCAATGCCCAGTTTTGTGTATATTGCCAAAGGCATCAAGTTTATGCTAGCCCCTAAGTCATTCAATGCTTTTGCAAAAGCATAACCCCTAATAGTACATGGAATAGTGAAGCTACATGGATCAGACATCTTTTGAGCCATGGGTCTTGTCACTACTATACTGAATGTCTGTGTCAAAGTTACTGTGGATAGGTGATGAAAGTCAAATTTTTGTGACATCAGGTCTGTGAGGCATATGAAAGATTTTTACTCTAAACCCGAAAGCTCGTAGTGGCAAATTAGGGATATGTGTTAGAGATGCGTAAAATTCTTCAGCTCACCGCGGTTCGGACCTTTTTGAACTGATCTATGCATTAAAAAGTCAAGGAATATTGTTTTCCAGAAAAGTGCGATTCTGCGGTCGAAAATGCGGTCGCATAACAGCTATGCGGAATGCATAGTCACCGCAGAGTAAAGCAGTGTGTTGGCCAATTTGAGGTCAACTATGTGGCCAATTATGCGATCGCATAATTGATATGTGGGCTGCAAAGTCGTCGCGTAATTGCCTTGGGATTTTGGGCAGTTCTGCGGTGCATTATGTGACCGCAGAACAGGTATGCGGACCGCATTTCTGCCGCATACCTAGACAGTGTGTTCAGGTTTTGGGGAGCATATTTGCAGTCCATTATGCGGGCCACATGTCAACTTTGCGATCGCAAATGCGATCGCAGATCTGAGTCGGGGCTCCAGATTTTTAAGTTTTAAACCCGACCACCTATCGTTATATCCTGTGCAATATCTCATTTTGAGCCTATTTTCTGATACTTTTAGAGTGAGAAGGGGGGTATAAGAGAGGGAAAATGCCTTTTATCAAAATTACTCCACAAATCCTTGTTAAAACATTGAAGATAATCAAGTGAGGCACCCAAATCTTTATCCCAAGAGGTAAGACTTCATCACCTTAGCTCTTAATTTTAAATATAGAGACAAGGGGTCATTAGTGAGGTAATTCATAGGGATAAGGGTAACTATATTGCATGCATGTGTTCTTAGAAGATAGGTGGAAATTATAAATAGAGAGGCATGGGGAAAGGGCTAGTGTAATCTTCCATAAAAGGGCCATAAGACCTTAATGAACACTCAATGCTTGATAAACTGCTCAAGTGAGATTAGATTATGATCTTTTCCTGATTATGGGTTCAATTGTGCTATATTGCTTAAATAGATTAAAGTGTGAACATTCCGGAATGTTATAGGATTAAGGAAAGCTCAGTTTAAATATGTATGGCTAAAACCCCATCTTTTAGAAATTGAGCTTTATCGGTATTTGGGTAAATACTGTAAGATTAAAGTTGAATTGTTGTATGGATTGTTGTTTCACATGAATTTGGGGTTGCAACTTTATATGCGTGAAAGATATGTCTCAATATGGTAAATGTGCTATTCTTGATAACTTGAAAGGGTGCAAGGAATATGAATCATGTACTGAAATGCTTACACTTTAAATTGAGATTGAAGCTGTATATGTTGTGTCCTCTATATGAAGTCTCATCTATGCTTACAATTTCATTTGCTCTTGTATGCGCATATTATCTTTAATTACAAATCTAACATTATAATTGGGAATAATGTGAAATGTGGCCTAGTGCCAAATATATGACGTGATAGTTGTGGCCCCAAGTGCCTATGAAAAGATATATGTGTTACAAAGATTGAATTGAGATGATTGATGGAAAAAGGGAAACGCCTTGGTAAGGCGGCCTAGCCGATCGAGCCGAGATAGGATGTCATGCCTCACACATGGTGGTATTGTGTTGATATTGAACATCGGATAAAAAGGGAAAAATGAGATTGTGATTGAAGTGTATATCTCCAAGGCAACCTAGCCGATCGGGTCTAGATCGGACTCCGCTCAAGCTAGCGGTGGTATAGTGAACAATGATGAACAGTATAAAATGCCCCAAACTAAAGGCTATGGAAACATAATGTGAAAATTGTATCATTCTTTTACATTGATAATGTTGTGATCATTTAAAGCTTTTGAGTTATACATGTGCCTTCCTTATGTTTGGTATGAAAGTTATTTCTAACTAGATGGTGTTTAGTTATACATACTAGTACTATTCCATGGTAGTAACGTCCCTTTAGCCGGGGGCGCTACATTTTTAAATGAATGTAGGTGGCTCCATTGCGGATAGTGTTGATCGTGCGTAGCAGAGTACCTTCTTCTCAAAGTCTTGGTGAGCCCCTTTCTCCTTCAAGGGACTTACATTGCACATATTTGGTTGTGGACTTCCACTTTTGAGGTATAGCCGGGGCCTTGTTGCCGGCATTGTCGTACTTGTCTTTTACATCTTTATAGGCTCTGTAGACATATGTGTGGGTTATGTACGGGTGTTGGATGGGTCTACAAACTATGTTGTAATTCTAACTCTCGCTTCTCTAAAGTGTAATTGTATGGAATCTTGGAAATTAACTATGTTGTGATATAGGATGAACTAACAATGTTGAATGTGCTATCTTTCCTCGTCTAAATAAATGAAAGCATGATTTCCTTATTCATAATGAGTTGGGTGGAAGTGTTTGATAAGGCTTGCTCAATTGGGTTCACTCGATTGAGCGCAGGTCACGCCTCCCGAGGTTGGGGCATGACAAACTTGGTATTAGAGCCTAAGGTTTTAAAGTGACCTAGGATGTCTTAGAGCCGTGTCTAGTAGAGTCCTTCTTATCGGTATGTAGTCGACCACATCTATAAGTTGGAGGCTACTTGGGCATTTAGGAATAACACCATTCTTTGATATTCTGGATCGTGCAGTGAAACTGTTCCCTCTCTAATTAGTGCATTGTTCTATCTTTCATTAAATGGCACCTAAGAAGAAAGCAAGAATTGGCCAGGAAGCCAATGTCAATGCCACTTCAGGAGTGTCTGATGATTCACTGCTTGATATTGTGGTGAGGGTAGCCGCCCTGCTATCACTCTGCCTGATTCTTCTATTCTAGAGCAGACTACCCCAGTTCCTACACCTGTGGAGGGTACCACTATCCCTCTCGTTGATACCTCTATCCCGCCTCCAGCCCCAGTTTATGGTTCTGGTATTTCTGATGGGGATCTTAGGGGAGCTATTCGGATGTTGACCCATCTAGTGGCCTTTCAGGCCCAGATGTCAAATGTTGCACCCAGTTCATCCAGCCAGCAAGGGGATTCTACTAGATCTAGGGTAAATAGATTTCTATAGTTATACCCTCCAGTGTTTATGGTTGCCACTCCAGAAGAAGACCCTCAGAATTTTATTGATGAGATGCATATGATCCTTAGGGTTATGTGTGCAATTGAAATAGAGGGAGTAGAGTTAGTTGCCTACCGTTTGAAAGGGGTGGCCTATGCGTGGTTTGAGTTATGGCAAGAATCCCGCGAGGAGGAGGGCCCTACGGCGAGGTGGAATGAGTTCACTGATGCTTTTATAGATCATTTTCTGCCTGTTGAGACAAGGGCAGCCCATGCAGCGGAGTTCAAAAATCTTAAACAGGGTAGCAGAAGTGTGTGGGAGTACCATATGGAGTTTGCCCGCTTGTCCAAGTATGTTATTCAGATGTTGCCCACAATGGAGGCTAGGGTGCACCGGTTTGTTCAGGGTCTTAATCCTTTAACTATTAATGAGGCTTCTACAGCTGCATTGAACTCTAACATGAATTATGGGAAGATGGTGGCATTTGCTCAGGCCACAGAAAATCGTAAACTGAAGAACAGGATGGTAAGAGAGGGTAACAGCAAGGTCCGGTCTATGGGCAACATGTGGTAGTCACTAGGTAGGGGAAGATCAGCTTTCAGGGGAGGATCATTAGGGCTGTACCAGTCTGTTGCACAGTCTTCAGCCAGTGTACCGCAATCAGGGCCCAGCCAGCAGTAGTGGAGTCGCTTCAGGCCCGGTCAGGGAAACAGGGGATCCCATCAGCAGGGTCAGTCAGGAGAGAGGTCCCAGTATCAGCAGAGGTCCCCGTGCCCCAGGTGCAGGAAGATGCACTCAGGGACTTGCTATTTGGAGTTACCTATATACTATGGATGTGGGATGAGTGGTCATATTCAGAGGCATTGTCGTGTATCCCGCCAGGGAGCGGGTAGGGGCACAACTCAGTCATCCAGTCCAGCAGCTGCTATATCTTCAGCCCCCTCTCTAGCTCGAGGTACCCCAGCACCCACAGGGGATGGTGCAGCTAGGGGTGGTGCGTAGAGTTCAGGAGGACCCAGCCAGTTCTATGCTATGAGTGGACGCCAAATTGCAGAGGCTTCCCCAGATGTTGTTACAGGTATTCTAACTGTCCAATCTCATGATGTGTATGCACTTATTGACCCCGGTTCCACCTTGTCCTATGTTACTCCTTTTGTTGCAATGGAATTCAGGATATAACCAAATCATCTTCATGAACTTTTTTTGGTGTCTACTCCGGTTGGTGAGTCTATTACAACTGCTTGAGTTTATAGAAGTTGTGTTGTCACGGTACGTGGTAGGGATACCATTGCCGGTCTTGTTGAATTGGGGATGGTCGATTTCGATGTGATAATGGTAATGGATTGGCTTTATTCCTGTTTTGCCAAACTTGATTGTCAGACTAGAACTATGAGGCTTGAATTTTCTAATGAGCCCGTTATTGAATGGGAGGGAGATAATGTAGTGCCTAGAGGTCGGTTATTTCCTACCTTAAGGCCGCGAAGATGATCAAGAAGGGATGTATCTATCATTTAGTTCGGGTTACGGACACCAATGCCGAGGTGCTTATCCTTGAGTCTGTACCAATTGTGAATGAATTTTCGAATGTCTTTCTAGATGAGCTCCCTAGGATTCCACTAGACAGGGAGATTGATTTTGGGATCGATGTGATGCCAGGCACGCAACATATATCAATTCCACATTACAGAATGGCATCGGTAGAGCTAAAAGAGCTAAAGGAACAATTGAAGGATTTGATAGAAAAGGGTTTCATCCGGCCGAGCGTATCACCGTGGGGCACACTGGTCTTGTTTTTAAGGAAGAAAGATGGGTCGTTGTGAATGTGTATTGACTACCGACAGCTTAACAAAGTCACTATCAAAAATAAATACCCTCTACCTATAATAACTGACTTATTTGACCAATTATAAGGTGCTAGGTGTTTTTCAAAGATCA